TTAAGTAATACACAATACCATGTTAGGAAGTGGTCAAATGTAACATATGTTATATTTAGGATTACACTCTCTCACTATGACCAATTTCTAAAATAACATTGTGTATTTTATAGCTTTCGCACAAAGTCCGCAGTCTAGACTACCAGTTGTCCGACTTCAATTTTGTGGAAGCCACGGTGGTTGAGCGGTCTAGGCGTCTGACTTTTTGTGCTGGCGATTGGGTGCCTGACTCTGAGGGTGTGGGTTCGAATCCCGGATGGGACTCAACCCAAAAAATACTATACATGTGCTTTACTGAGAGAGTGTAATCCCAAATATAACATATGTTAGCGTTAAGTAGGGTAAGATGTTCTTCACATGATTTATTTATCAAAAGTGGAAGATTTAAAACTGTCTAAAAAAGAAAATAGAATTTGTAGACTTAGTGATCTTAACCAGAGAGAAGATGAATATATTATTTTCTTTAATTTGGCCCGCTTATAATTTCTTTAGAGAAAGTTGTATATTACGAGATACTATTTGGTCCATTCAAACCTTATACACATTCTCAGCATTATTAAAAAATAAAACCAACAATACTTCATGTTGTTTAAAACAGAATATATCTCAGAGCACAAATGTAAGCTACCCTTGATTTTTCTTTCCTCCTGTGAATGACATATGCATGTAAAGATTGTTTTGTAAATGTAATGTATACAGGGCTGTGACCTTCAAAGGTTTTAAGTGATTCATTAGATAATGATTTGAATATTTATTGCCACGGCGAAAACATGAATGCTATTGAAAGGAAACTGCAGCTTTGTTTAAATAAAATTAATAAAGGGAGTTTAGAAAGTGGATTTAAATTTTCAAAATCAAAACCTAACTGCATCCATTTTTGTCGAAAATATAAAATTCACAGAGTTAAATGGCACCCTATTAACGTTGTTATGGGGATATTATTGGGTATTATTGATATTATTTTACGATCACCATTAAAACCTCTAAATCACTATAAAAGAACAAGAGATGGTAAGATGGTTAAATTGTTATTATTTCATTGCTGAGATCTGTGTGATGTACTCGATACACTGACAGTGCCATAATCAGTTCAATTAGGCTACACCGCCGTTCCAAAACATGGGTGAACAGAATGTCAAGTCACAAGAATAAAATGCAAAATTTCTCAATTCAATATTGTGTATGGCCGCCCTGCGCATTCACCACTGCCAAACACCGTCTCCCTCATCGACTGCCTGATGCTTGTGAACACGTGGTTGGGGATTCTGCGCAATTGCTCTTGCAAGGCAGCGCCAAGTTCCTGCAAAATTCTGAGGTTGGTTCCTAAGACCACGAAGCCTTCTCCCAAGTGCATCCCAAACGGGCTCAATTGGATTAAGGTCAGGGGACCCTGATGGCCAGTCCATGACGTTGATTCCAGCGTTTTGAAGGAAATTTCGTGTCAACATCGCGGTATGCGGCCGAGCATTATCATGCTGGAACTGTAGACCTGGGCCATGAGCCGCCATGAAAGGAACGAGTTCAGGGTGAGCACCTGGTCGCGGTAAGCAGCAGCCGTGAGGTTTCCACGGATGACCAGAAGTCGGGAACAGTTGTTCCCACAGAAAGCACCCAACACCGTGCAACTTCCGCCCCGAAACTGTCGACTTCCTGTACACAACATTGGGCATACCGTTCACGACGTCGTCTCCAGACTTCTATGCCTGCCGTCCGCGAATCTGAGGGTAAACCTGGATTCATCGCTAAAGACGGCTCGATTCCAGTCTCTCTGGGTCCATCGGAGGTGACGCTGGACCCACAGCAGACGTTGACGTTGATGAAACGGCGTCAGTATTGGTCTTCGATATGGGCGTCGAGAATGGAGATTGGCAGCCCGCAACCGATTTGAATGGTCTGTGAGGACAGTCGACCTCTAAACATCTCAGCCCTGGTTCGTGTAGCCGGCAGAGATCTGTCACGTAGGTGACGTTGGATTTGACGGTCTTCTGCTCGTGACGTCACACGTGGAAGACCCAACCTTAGGCGATCAGAAGTGGTGCCAGTTTGTTGTAGACGACCTCGCAAGTCATACACAGTACGACGGCTGCATCCCATTGCCTTTGCGACGTCAATAACTGATCTTCCTGCTTGCAACATGCCAACGGCACGTTCACGCTGCACAACTGACAATCGTGACATTTCAAGTACCGTTACAACTGTGGTTTAAAAGTGTTTTTCAATTCTTGAGGCCAATGCAAACACGTGCATATGAAGAAAACTTCGATGCGAAGATCACGTGATCGACTGCACGTGCAAAACCTGATTTGGCACTCAACGTCATTTGCACGACGAATGGATGGGTTTGAGTGGGTTTTGCTAACGTTTTTCTAGAGTCGAAAGATAGGATCCCATTTCGGATACATAGATGTCATCATCAGAGAAAAATTATTCATTATTTTCAAATTACATTTTGTGAAGTTTCTTTTTGACTCAGTATATATTTACGGATTGATCTTAATGATAGTGGCGCAGTAACGTTGCTTATGCCAGAACAATATTTTCTTGATTACGAAATAACAGCACTATTTTTACAACAGCAGCAGCCGCCATATTAACAACTCCTAAATATATTAAAATACACTCTGAATATAAACAATATATATTAGTCTTCCAGATTCACTTTCTGTGCCTTCAAGCTTATTAACAACTTATCGTAGGCATCCCATTTATATTGAAATAACTGAATAATAGAATGATCTTGCAACTGGACAATACGACAGCGTCTTTTATTGGTTATGTTTTATATATATCAATTTTGATATGTTGTAAGTGCATTCATCCAAAAATCTATATTGGGTGTCATCTGTTCTTCTGCACTGACCATCTTGTCAGCCATGATTCATCGAACATAAATGATTTGACCTAAATACCTCTTGTGTTTTCAGGCACGTATCTCGTTCTTTACTGTCAAGATAAGGCCGCAACACACATAACACTTACATGCATAACAAGTATTCATAGACTTGTAATACAGGTAAATGTGAGTTAAGTAATGTTTGCTAGTTTTACTTTATAGCGCTGCCCTATGGCAGACATATATTATGATCGTGAAGGTCATTTAATATGTGAGTGCCAAATGTAGACATGATGGATATATTTCATTGTTAATAGTGTAGACAGTATAATCTAGAATAATGTACATTATTAGCAACATTTTTCTAAAATGCTGTCATCGTATACATGCGTGATTATTTCGCCAGTAGTTCTACAACCAAACTCTATCATGTACTGCAAGTATTTGGGAGAATCATTGTTAACTATGATGTTGTTGCATTATGACATGCAGCTGATATCATACAAATCTTACTAGTGCATTTACACTAAAATATGATCAGATAAAGTTAGATCACTCTGCGTGAGCTGTAGTGTGATTTTACTGACACTTCCAGTAAGAATGTAATACACTGCAACTAAAATCACATTTATTGTAAATCGTTTGTAATTTCTCAGTATCCATTAGTATTGATAGATTACCCAAATTATTCTTCTTAGTAAAAATATTTTCAGACAAAACATATTTGCAAATACATTATTAGCTCTCTGTTATCTGAATACCTGATCATCATGCTGATAGTTATAGTGGCATTGTTGTACCAGTTTGTGATATAATAATTCATTACCATTAGTGTTTTATGTTACTGTTCATGATTGAATTTATCCTTTCTTGTTACTTTGTAGAGTATATTTAGTCAGTCAATTTTGTCATGTCGTCCCTATGGTCCAAAGTATGGTGATCAACCTCCAGTTGTTGGCAGTCAATAGCCTGTCTTTTATGTAGTATTGTCATTTATATACTGTAAATTTAAAAATATTTTAGATTTAATTACTAATTTTAAATTTATATCTGTGAAAATCTAGTTGTTTTACTGTCCTTTTGCTGAAAGGTTTTAATATTTACTTCAATTACTATAAATCTATGATTTGATTTACTCACGATATGGTTGGAAATATTGTCGATGTGACAAATCTTACCTCACTATCTCATTATTTTCATGATAGTTGTGAAACTGTTTCTGGTCATGTAGTTTACATTGTCATTGTAAAAGCAAGAATTTTATGTATTTCAACTTCATTATTGTGATGAACAATAAAGAAGCTGACATCCATAAAATTCTTGCCTCTATGTATCACTTCTAGATGCAATTCAAAGACTCCAGATTGTCTTTGTAACTACAATACAGAACTGCTTGAGATACAATTAGTGCAGGGACTTGTGTAATTATGTGGCAATTGCATGTTAACTGTTGGAACCAATACCAGTTGTAATCACTATTGTGTATTGATTCAGAAAAAACATGGTTCCATTTTTTCTAAGAAAAGCAAAATGTTTGGATGTCAACTTCCAATTCTTTATTGTGAATAACACCTTTCGGAGTGTATGCTTGCTCTTTCATCAGGTGATTGGTAGGGAGTATGAGGGATATATATATATATATATATATATATATATATATAGACAATGTCGACCTTTGGGCGACATTTGTGCGACCTTTAGGCGACAGCTGTCGCCCTAAGGATATATTTCTGTCGCCTAAATATCTGCATGTCACAACTATGTTCATTTTCCCTTAATAGCTAGCCCAAAGTGGATGGTTGGATAGAAGGTCGTCTCAGGACCTTCGGGTGTGCTTCTTTTGCATTTTTTTATAAAACTTTAGTGCTGTTATTGTAAAACAAAAAATATCATGTATATAACGCCTGCGACCTTCGGCGACACGGGGTTTTCTATAAAATTCTCTAACAGCTGGATATATGTTCAGTAATAAACAGTGGAGAAATTATTGTCTAGATATATGCTATTAGGTTTTGTACACTTATTTCAAATATACACATCGTTAAGTGTTCGCTATAACATCACTGTTTCGTTCGCAGTACCTTTCGGCGATTTGCCTTCACGCTCCTGTGCGTCAAAAACGTGAAAGTTCAAAAAGCGGCAACGTCGAAATGAACACTTAGCTAATAATTCAATAGTGTCTGTAGATATTGTGGGAGCTGACAGACAAGACTAATATGCCACCAAGAACACGTTTAAATACTTAAAACATTTGATTCTTCAATCAAAATAACAACGTAATAATCTGTAAATAAATTGAATTCATGTTTCACACGAAGGCCCGTTCACGTTTTGTGTCAAATCGGATCCCGTTTGCTACAGTTTTCGCGCACTACACGCGGTGACTTGGCAGCACAAAGCTATGGAAAATGCATGGTATGTATCGTAATCGGAGTATTTTGTTGAAAACAGCAGCATGTACAATTGTATCAAAGGCGATGCCTGTCCCATGACACAATTTATTTCAAAGATTTCGCAACTGGAAGAAACTGTTTGCTAGTAACTTGATCGCGATTGTGAGGTCTCGTATCATGTTGTTTCTGATCCTCACATAGACTATCGCTTAGTCTCTGAATATATATTTTTTATATTAACAAACAAACGCATTATAAATTGAAAAGGAGCCCCGGGGAAACCAGAACCTGAGGAAATCTAGACTTGCTTCATTTAGGGCGTTAGCATTGCAGAAAGGGCAAGGCAGTAGGTAAAATACTATTGTGGTTCAGGGACTGTGAGACAGACTACAGTGGTTGGCCATAAGTGAGTCATCATTAGTGAAATTTCCATAGACTTACATGTTAATTAACTGTTGCAAGAATAATTTTCATAAATAGAGTAGAAGTCATTCTATTTTGATATTTTGCAAACATCTTTGAAATCATCTTCAGCTACGTGTACATAATTTTCTTTCATCTTTCCGTTGATTAGTTATTGAATGACGCCTGATTAAGCACCATTAGTACCACTTAATTTTAATCTATCCCATAGACATGTTAAACCTGATTGGTATGTCTAATATATGTTGTTTAAATAGTTGCAGTTTTCTTAATAATCATCGGAAAATTGAAAGGAAATTATATGTATGTAGCTGAGATGATTTCCCAGCTGGTAGATAAGTACTGAAAGCAATTCCACCGAAACTAAATTTATGAGAAATTATTCTTGCAAGAGTTAATTAACATGAAAGTCTATGGGAATTCCATTATTGATGACTCACTTATGGCCAACTACTGTAGATCCACACCCGAAAGAGCGAATCACAGCTGTATGATTTTATGTTCACTCAGTGGGTGAAATTGACCTTTACTTTTAGGCCAGTGTACATTCTTGTACTTAGACGCAGTTCCGGTGCGGCAAAAACCCGAAAACATCTCTCATTTTGACGCCTGATATTCAGGGCATCAGACTGACTTTTCACACTGATATATTGTTTTCTTTATTTTAAATATATATCTACCAACTAATAGATAAATAAAACCCAAAAACAGTCAATAACCATTACTAATTTCAGGAACTAACCAAATCTGTAAGACTTGAATTCAGTAAAATTACTTATAGGCCAAATGTAGACATAGCATAACACATTACAATCGGTTTTATCACCCACACTGCATATTCTGACTAATAATACATTGACATGGGTTTGCTCAAATAATGAGCTGATAGTGCAGTGTTGAGGAAGACTTGTAGTTATAGTTTCATGATGTCACTCTCCATTGTTGCTCTTTGCTGTTTCCTCTGATAGCTGAACTACACATTTTTATATCAGCTGCACATTTCCTAAATTGGTCATGCAAAGGAAATATGCATTTGCTCTCTGGACCATAATATGTTTCAGTTACATTATTTATATCAAGAGATTCTAACTTTCAAATATAGCTGTTTGTACTCCTACTTTCAACCCTGTCCCTTTGGGTGTTTATGTGCAGTATATCTCCTCCACTGGTCTATCAGAGTGAAAATATCAGTGTATAGTGATGAAATGTATATTTTGCACCATTTTCATGCTAATAATAATAATTTTCTCCATATGAGTACAAAGATTGTAGCCTACCACCTTATTACCTACAAGTAAAGGCTGTCTGAGTCATACCTTGTTTGTTTTTAGTAACCTGATTTTTGTGGCTGGTTATGACAAGAATTTCTAATTACCAGATAACACATTTACTGCTGCTGAGAGATCCTAAAAGATAAAACTTTTTGCATTTGGCCCAGGACTATAACCTTGTCTGTCCACATGCCACTGACACTCAGCCAGCATAATTATGACCAATACATCCTCCTACTCACAGTGTGACTCAACTGACAACCACAAATGTTGGTTACGTTGTATTTTTCTGCACTTGGTCCAAACTTTGATATAGATTCAAATGCTAGAGATTTTCCACTTCACTGATGCACTTGAATCTGTTAATGGAATATTGTGCATGAATACAGTCAGAATTCCCTTTTGAGCTTTCATAATTCCATGGCAGCTATATCTTTGTATGTTTAATGCAGGAACATTTCCTCATTTCAAAGTCTAAATCCTGTACATTGTGTAACATAGGAAAGAGGGTAAACACCAGTGGACAGAATAAGATTAACTGAAAATCAAGGATGAATCTCACTAAAGACATTAAGACATGTTATAATCCTATTGGTTGGTCAATAGACCAACTGTTTCTATGCAGGATATGTTATTAGTCTTTTATGGTTTTAAGTTCCCTTAGCGGTCAAATTGCATAAAAGGGTAATTTTGTTCAAAGCGGGGGTTTCTTAAACAAACCTTTTTTTTTTAAAATGGAGGTAAAGTTTAACATTTCTTTCAATACAAACAGTAAGAATAAAAGCCTCTTCCTGTTGTAAGTTACCTTTACAAAGCCATAACAACAGTTTCAGAAATGCCTCTTTGGTGCATCTATTCAGGTAGTGTGCTATTCATCATTGGTCCATCATCGGCTAATAGTTTGCACTGTCGACTAATATCAACATCCCTGAACAGCACTGGGCAGACAGTATTGATATAAATCATAGAATCGATGATCGTTATTATGAATAGTAACTTAGAACAAAATGTTTAAAGAAACCTGACAGAAATCAGCATTTTGTATTACTGGTGAGTTTTGACATTTATGAATGGATGACTAACAAAATCCTGAACATAATTTAGAAGCAACCCATGAATAAAGATAACTTTGTATATTGTGTGAGTAAATTGAAACTATGATATTATGGGTTTTCTTAAAATCCATTCAAATTGGCTTGATGGCACAAGATTTTCCCTTCGTCACCCTTCAACCCAAGTCCAAAGTTGACAAAGACTGTAAAAAGTCAGAAAAGGTCTAGCCTGTCTCATAGTTAATGAACTGCATTATGTTTACTTCCGTCTATGCCTTTCTGCAATGATAAAGATCTAATTGAAGCAAGTCTAGTTTTACTTAGGTTCAGGAATCTCCCATCTCACTGGAGCTCCTTTTAGTTTAAAAGGAATTGTTTGATTCTATCAAAATTATATATATTCAGAGACTAAGTGCTAGTCTCAGATGGTCCTGTTAGACGTGGAAATCATATCCATTCCAGGTTATGCCTGGTAAGTTAATTTTATTTTACAAAAGTTTCTGAATATGAAACATTGTAAATTCATAATTTATGTATGTTGTTAGGGTGATAACTAAATCTTGTAGAATTTTAAATACTTTATCAGTTCAGAAGAAAAAATATTATTTCTTAAGCTCAGTTTTGAATTTAAGTTCATAATCATTTTGAGAATAATATTGTTAACATTTTAATGTTACTTAATGCAGACAATTATGAACGGGATCAAGAGACGTTGAGCTTGGCAGAGGAGAAATGTGATCTTCAAATTGCAGAATCAGAGGGGAGTCTCTGAGGCATTCCAAAGTGAGGAAGGGAGTATTCACAATTAAACATGAAGGTATTGATCTCTGGATCACATAACCTACATGTTTAAATTGTGAATACCATTTTTACAACTTTGTTAAATTTATTTCTACCTTAACTAGGGATGTCACGATACATAAGTTTCATGAATCGATACGTATCACGATACTCATGTCATGACTCGATATGTATCATGATACCTATTTTCACTGCATTATTGCGTAAATTGAGTTACATTTTGAACATTAAATATTTTCTATTTTATAATAGTCCTTGAAAAGATCAACATTTTCTATTCTCAGAGATTAAAAAGTTCTAATTTCCAATTTTGTGCATGAAAAAATCATTTATAACTGTCATAACATTAAAAAAAGATGATACAATTGCAAAATGTAAACGATACATATTAAAACATATTTAAATTGATACTTTCAAACTAAATATCGATACAGTTTTGAATGTATCAATGATTGTACCGTCTTAGAAAAAGTATCGATGTATCATGGCATTCCTAACCTTAACAATGTTCTAGCCTACCAGGGGCGGTGGGGTAGCCTAGTGGTTAAAGCGTTGGCTCGTCACGCCGAAGACCCGGGTTCGAATCCCTACATGGGTACAATGTGTGAAGCCTATTTCTGGTGTCCCCCGCCGTGATGTTGCTGGAATATTGCTAAAAGCGGCGTAAAACCAAACTCAGTCAGTCAGTCTAGCCTACCTTTAGAATTCAGCACCACAAACTTGCAATACCCGATGAAGTAATGCCTCATGAATCTTCAAATTGTTTAAGCCTTCTCAATATTAGTACAGTTATCCTGAATGGTAGTGAGCCGATTAGTACTGTCTGCAGCAACACATCTTTTAGGTATTATCTCAATACATGATTTTTTACTATTTATAAATGTAACAAGAAATTCAAAATAGCCAATAAGAGATTAATTTATAGACATGGAATAGCCTTATATACAGATAGTCTGTTTTTTGATGACATATATGAAACATTTAAAGAAAAAAACTGTATATACTCTGATAACAAGCAGTTCCAGACAAGTATTGTGGTTCTGATCATGGAAAACTTTACAGAAAATGTAGAAATTTTGAAAACTGGCAGAATTTGCTCTTTTCACATATCAACAGGGTAATTTTCAACATTTTTAAGCTTTTCTATTGACTTTTGCACTTGAATGATGTCCCAACATTTACAATTCAAAAAATTATCCCTGCAATAATCATGTTTTTTATAGAGATATCATTTTCACTTTTAGGTTACTATCTACTGATATCTTACCAGTTTCATAGAGAGCTGATGTGTGTCGTGTTTCGTAGTGCACACAATTCAGACCAGACCCATGAAGAGAAAATATTGGCATTTCTCAATACAGAGTATACAATTAACATATTGCCTACATTTTGTTGTTTTTCTGTAGTCAATAATTCAATCTTCCATCAGATAATCAGGTGTATGAAAGTTCTGACACCATTCTGTTCATATCACAGGGGTGGGTGGGTTCTCAAATAATTTTTTTTTTACATAATCAGGTGTTTAAATGCGTTGTTATCAAATGATTCCTGTAATTGTCAATACATTTGCATTAATGTTTCTGTGTCCTTCATACACAGGAAATTCAGCAAATGAGAACTGAAGACACCTGTATTCCATGTCAGCAGATACATTTTCTTCCTTTACCTTTTCAGGATTCAGATGTAGTATCTGTGAGAAGGTACTAAAGTGTAAAGGTGGATATACTGTTCATCAGCAGATGGACTTGAAGTCAAAAGGTACCAACAGTCTTTAGTAGCTTCTTTCTAGATATCAAGATAAGTGAACACCCATAACATATATCATGATACGAAGTCAAGAATGTGTTCAGCATGACCGCTTTTCATCATATTATTGGCAGGTCATTAGTAAAACAATCAAGCTTTCGCTATGAAATTCCATTGTATACAACTAGGATGTGTTGTCTAAAGGTCTGTGTTTATGATGAATAGGATGTATTGTGTTGACCATCGGGCAACTTATATATATGTATTAATATTCAGCAGACTCTTGGGCAAGATAGGTATATCATTATCATCAGAATGTTGGGTAACACATCCTATCTGTTATAATCACAGCCCATTGGGCAACACATCCCGTCTGCTATAATCACAGCCCATTGGGCAATGCATCCTATCTGTTATTTTTTTATACCTTTGGGCAACACATCCACTGTCATATTTTTTTACAGACCAATGTGCAACACATCCTATCTGTTATTTTACAGACCATTGGGCAACAAATCATATATATTAACAGCAGACATTATCAGTAGACCTGTGGGCAACACATCATATATATTATCAGTAGACCTTTGGGCAACACATCATATATATTATCAGTAGACCTTTGGGCAACACATCATATATATTATCAGTAGACCTGTGTGCAACACATCATATATATCACCAGTAGACCTTGTGGGCAACACATCATATATATCACAAGTAGACCTTGTGGGCAACACATCATATATATTATCAGTAGACCTGTGGGCAACACATCATATATATTATCAGTAGACCTTTGGGCAACACATCATATATATTATCAGTAGACCTGTGGGCATCACATCATATATATCACAAGTAGACCTTTGGGCAACACATCATATATATCACAAGTAGACCTTTGAGCAACACATCATATATATTATCAGTAGACATTTGGGCAACACATCATATATATTATCAGTAGACCTTTGGGCAACACATCATATATATTATCAGTAGACCTTTGGGCAACACATCATATATATTATCAGTAGACCATTAGGCAACACATCTTATATAATACAAGTAGACCTTTGGGCAACACCTTATATGTATTATCAGTAGACCTGTGGGCAATACATCATGTATATTATCAGAAGACTATTTGGCAAAACATCATGTATATTATCAGTAGACCTTTGGGCAATACATATATACAATCAGTAGACCTGTGGGCAACACATCATATGTATTATCAGTACACCTTTGGGCAACACATCCACCACAATCAGTAGACCTGTGGGCAACACATCAATGTATTATCAGTACACCTTTGGGCAACACATCCTAAAATCAGTAGACCTGTGGGCAACACATCATATGTATTATCAGTACACCTATGGGCAACACATCTTACAATCAGTAGACCTGTGGGCAACACATCATATGTATTATCAGTACATCATTGGGCAACACATCCTACAATCAGTAGACCTGTGGGCAACACATCATATGTATTATCAGTACACCTTTGGGCAACACATCCTACAATCAGTAGACCTGTGGGCAACACATCAATGTATTATCAGTACACCTTTGGGCAACACATCCTACAATCAGTAGACCTGTGGGCAACACATCATATGTATTATCAGTACACCTATGGGCAACACATCTTACAATCAGTAGACCTTTGGGCAACACATCATATATATTATTAGTAGACCTGTGGGCAACACATCATATATATCACCAGTAGACCTTTGGGCAACACATCATGTGTATTATATTATCGGTAGACCTGTGGGCAACACATCATATATATCACCAGTAGACCCTTGGACAACACATCATATATATATCACAAGTAGACCTGTGGGCAACACATCATATATATCACCAGTAGACCTTTGGGCAACACATCATGTATATTATCAGTAGACCTGTGGGCAACACATCATATATATCACAAGTAGACCTTTGGACAACACATCATATATATCACAAGTAGACCTTTGGGCAACACATCATATATATTATCAGTAGACCTTTGGGCAACACATCATATATATTATCAGTAGACCTTTGGGCAACACATCATATATATATCACAAGTAGACCTTTGAGCAACACATCATATATATTATCAGTAGACATTTGGGCAACACATCATATATATTATCAGTAGACCTATGGGCAACACATCATATATATTATCAGTAGACCATTAGGCAACACATCTTATATAATACCAGTAGACCTTTGGGCAACACCTTATATGTATTATCAGTAGACCTGTGGGCAATACATCATGTATATTATCAGAAGGCTATTTGGCAAAACATCATGTATATTATCAGTAGACCTTTGGGCAATACATATATACAATCAGTAGACCTGTGGGCAACACATCATATGTATTATCAGTACATCTTTGGGCAACACATCCTACAATCAGTAGACCTGTGGGCAACACATCAATGTATTATCAGTACACCTTTGGGCAACACATCTTACAATCAGTAGACCTGTGGGCAACACATCATATGTATTATCAGTACACTTTTGGGCAACACATCCTACAATCAGTAGACCTGTGGGCAACACATCATATACGTATTATCAGTAGACCTTTGGGCAACACATCATATGTATTATCAGTACACCTTTGGGCAACACATCATATATATAATCAGTAGACCTTTGGGCAACACATCATATATATTATCAGTAGACCATTAGGCAACACATCTTATATAATACCAGTAGACCTTTGGGCAACACCTTATATGTATTATCAGTAGACCTGTGGGCAATACATCATGTATATTATCAGAAGGCTATTTGGCAAAACATCATGTATATTATCAGTAGACCTTTGGGCAATACATATATACAATCAGTAGACCTGTGGGCAACACATCATATGTATTATCAGTACACCTTTGGGCAACACATCCTACAATCAGTAGACCTGTGGGCAACACATCAATGTATTATCAGTACACCTTTGGGCAACACATCTTACAATCAGTAGACCTGTGGGCAACACATCATATGTATTATCAGTACACTTTTGGGCAACACATCCTACAATCAGTAGACCTGTGGGCAACACATCAATGTATTATCAGTACACCTTTGGGCAACACATCCTACAATCAGTAGACCTGTGGGCAACACATCATATATATTATCAGTACACCTATGGGCAACACATCTTACAATCAATAGACCTTTGGGCAACACATCATATATATTATCAGTACACCTTTGGGGAACACATCCTACAATCACTAGACCTGTGGGCAACACATCATATGTATTATCAGTACACCTTTGGGCAACACATCCTACAATCAGTAGACCTTTGGGCAACACATCATATGTATTATCAGTAGACCTTTGGGCAACACATCATATGTATTATCAGTAGACCTATGGGCAACACATCTTACAATCAGTAGACCTTTGGGCAACACATCATATATATTATTAGTAGACCTGTGGGCAACACATCATATATATCACTTCAGTAGACCTTTGGGCAACACATCATGTGTATTATCAGTAGACCTGTATTATCAGCACACCTTTCATATATATCACCAGTAGACCTTTGGACAACACATCATCTATATAATAAGTAGACCTGTGGGCAACACATCATATATATCACCAGTAGACCTTTGGACAACACATCATATATATCACAAGTAGACCTTTGGGCTACACATCATATATATCACCAGTAGACCTTTGGGCAACACATCATATATATTATCAGTAGACCTGTGGGCAACACATCATATATATCACCAGTAGACCTTTGGACAACACATCATATATATCACAAGTAGACCTGTGGGCAACACATCATATATATTATCAGTAGATCTGAGGGCAACACATCATATACTAGTATATCACCAGTAGACCTTTGGGCACCACATCATATATATCACAAGTAGACCTGTGGGCAACACATCATATATATTATCAGTAGACCTGTGGGCAACACATCATATATATTACAAGTAGACCTGTGGGCAACACATCATATATATACTATCAGTAGACCTTTGGGCAACACATCATATATATTATCAGTAGACGTTTGGGCAACACATATATATGTTACCAGTAGACCTGTGGGCAACACATCATATAATCAGTAGACCTTTGGGCAAAACATCATGTATATTATCAGTAGACCTTTGGGCAATACATATATATTATCAGTAGACCTTTGGGCAACACATCATGTATATTATCAGTAGACCTTTGGGCAACACATCCTATATAATCAGTAGAGATTTGGGCAACACCTTATATGTATTATCAGTAGACCTGTGGGCAATACATCATGTATATTATCAGAAGACCTGTTGGCAACACATCATATGTACATTATCAGTATCAGTACCCTTTGGGCAACACATCCTACAATCAGAAGACCTGTGGGCAACACATCATATGTATTATCAGTACACCTTTGGGCAACACATCTTACAATCAGTAGATCCGTGGGCAACAGATCATATGTATTATCAGTACACCTTTGGGCAACACATCCTACAATCAGTAGACCTTTGGGCAACACATATGTATTATCAGTACACCTTTGGGCAACACATCCTACAATCAGTAGACCTGTGGGCAACACATCATATGTATTATCAGTACACCTTTGGGCAACACATATACATGGTCAGTGGACCTTTGGGCAACACATCATATATAGTGTATATACCATGCTCTCTGTAGTTCACCTGTTTACAGTCAAATTTTATTCAAACTTTGTATTCCTTAAGAGGCCATTTAACTAATCAGTTTGTAATCTAGTTATATTATATGGATAAGTGGAGTTTGGTTGTCACACTGTGCACTCAGCTGTAGTATTAAATCATACATACTAAAGGATTAAGATTTCTTCCTTGCAGTCTGTATTGACTGATGTCAGTTATGATTCAACACTTCAAATGATATATGTCATACCTGACTGAGATGCATAAGTGGTGTTCTGCCGGGAAAGGACAATTAGGGACCCTTCATACATATAAATATAGGGTCAGTTTATATGAATTATGGGGTCACACTCAGAGATATCATATACAATTTGAAACATGATTGACCAGTATTGTTATTGAAATACAAATGATTTGCTCTGTCTACTGAGTAAGTCAGTGCATTTCAAGTTTTCCCCCACACTTTCTGAAGAAGATGAGCTCAGTTATCACTAAAGCAAGTGATCATGGTGATGTCATGCATTCTATCAAGGTGTTATTACATTCCATGGTGAACTCATAGCATTCCAGACCTTTCTCATGTCTCACAACTTTGAAAGTCACCTAGATAGATAGAAATTATAAAACGACAGATCATGTTTGTATTCTACAATGTCAGTACATACTGTATGTTTCTAGATTTGTAAGTTTCATTGAGTAGTCAATGCCAAAATTGTTAACATTTCAAACCTCAAGCTGAACTTGTCTGTTCCAAATGTAATTTCTGTTTATCAAATACTCAACAAAACTCTCAAATCTGAAAACATACCATGTCTTTTTTCTAACTAGATAACTAACCCTTAGCCTTCAGCACTGCTAGAACTTGGCTGACATACTGCCGACATATGTCATCAACTGGTTCCAATTGCATCATGCATGACATGTAGGAGATTTGGAGAAAAATCACTGAGCCAATTGTATGCAGAATTTTATGAAGTTTGGTTTAGAAGTTAGCGAATCAGATATCTTTTATTTGTTTGCATATTTTCAGTTCAGACCTTTGTTTTACAAAAACCTAATGCTGCCATTTTAGTCCATCAAAGTGTTGTTTTAATCAATATTTCTCTTTTGTTCAATTACTTTCTTGTTGCTGTGATTATTTTATCATTGCTGTAATAATTTCTCTGAGTATATACCAAAACATGTGCATGTTGCTGCATATTAATTACGTCAATGTTTTGTTTCATCATCATTTCACTTGTTTGAAAAGCACTAAGCAATAAAGTTAACCAGTATCTATCTGGACATCCTTCTCCTACTTTCCCTTTCTCAGTGGTGTCCAGTCTCTATCTGCTTAATGAAGCGATCACTACTACTAGTGTTGACAGGCGGTGGGGTAGCCTAGGGGTTAAAGCGTTAGCTTGTCATGCCGAAGGCCCCGGGTTCGATTCCCCAGATGGGTTCAATGTGTGAAGCCCATTTTTGGTGTCCCCTACCCTGATATTGCTGGAATATAGCTAAAAGCGGCGTAAAACTAAACTCACTCACTACAAGTGTTGACCCTCGTTTCTCTCATAGACATTGGCAGTCACTCCCATTCAATTTTCAGCCATGTTACGAGATTTAAAGTTTCCTCAATACTCAAGGCTCCATCCTTATAGAACTATTTATATTCTACCTTATTGCAAAGTTAATTTAAGGACTATACGTTGTTATATTGAATATTGCAGTGATTAGAAACTAACATGGACTACTCACACTTTGCTAAGGATCACAAAAATTCCCAACTTTACTTAAACATAGATATATAATTTGATATTGTATCCATTTAAAACTGGATAAATAGTAATATAGTAACCCTTCTTTAGGCAAACATCTACTTTAATCTAACCTTATGCACTTGATACATGAGTAACCATAAAAATGGTTTTAATGGCACCAATCAACCATTTTGCAAAGCATGGAAAGAGTCATTTACAAGTTCACAACACCTGTCAATAGCAGGTATGGGATCCACAAGATCAAATGAGCTAAATCTTTAAAATGGCAAATGTTAACTTGTCCTAATAAAACCTTAAGTTGGGGAGTTGGGTAAAGGCTATAGGACTAGAAGCTGAGTGGTGATACTCACTGGAATTGTACCTTGATGTTTTAACATAATTTTGAAAACTTTGTCATATTTCAGAAAAGGAGACAGTTCAGGCATTTCTACAGATTTCCAAGCGTGAATGCTCTTATGTCCAGCTGAGAACAAAAATGATGAACAAGCAGAAAGTACAGCAGCAAAGGACAAGGAAGAGATGGCACACATTTCAAGAATAAGATTAACTTAAAAAGTATGCAGATGATTTCTAAGGGATGTTACAGTTGGGAATTCACTTTCCCAGTAAAGTACAGATACTATGTAGCTAGTACTTTGCTGGTGTGTGCTTTGAACCCACCCTCACAGAACTACATAATCAGCAATTTAACCTGACGAATGTTAGTCAAGGTCTCGTTCAGAGGAGTGTAAATGCAAAAATTACAAATTTGTACTAAGTTATGCAAATAAGAATGTCAAAACTATTTGGTTTAATAAATTGTAATTTTTCAACTTACAATCTTTCTTGTTCCTATCATTGGTTCGCACTGGGGTGGATTATGGCTCCATTTTCTATGGAGTGGGGGTGGATGGTGGTGGTGTAGCACTTGCAGATCTAGTGCAGTGTCTATTTCAAAATGGGTTGCGGTCAGATAGTATTCAGACCAGACATCAGGCAAATGTCAGTGTCAGAGCCCAGTTTATTCAGGAGTCGTTTGGTATGGCTAAGTGTATGATAGGAGAACCGGAATAGTCCCGACTGGCTCAAACTGGGCTGTGTTTAGACGTTATTCAGACCAGAGATCAGGCAAATATCAGTGTCGGAGCCCCAGTTTTTACATGAGTCGTCTGGTATGCCTCAGTGTATGATAGGCGAACCGGAATAGTCCCGACTGGCTCAAAATGGGCTGTGTTTAAATGGTATTCAGACCATACATCAGGCGAGTATCTATGTCGGAGCCCAGTTTATTCAGGAGTTGTCTGGTATGCCTCAATGTATGATAAGAGAACGGGAATAATCCCGACTGGCTCAAAATGGGCTGTGTTTAAATTGTATTCGGAGCAGACATCAGGAAAATATTAGTGTCGGAGCCCCAGTTTATTCAGGAGTCGTCTGGTATGCCTCAGTGTATGATAGGAGAACGGGAATAATCCCTACTGGCTCAAAATGGGCTGTGTTTAGGTGATATTCAGACCAGACATCGGGTAAAATCAATGTAGGAGCCCCAGTTTATTCAGGAGTCGTCTGGTATGCCTCAGTGTGTGATAAGAGAACAGGAATAGTCCCGTCTGGCTCAAAATGGGCTGTGTTTAAATTGTATTCGGAGCAGACATCAGGAAAATATTAGTGTCGGAGCCCCAGTTTATTCAGGAGTCGTCTAGTATGCCTCAGTGTATGATAGGAGAACGGGAATAATCCCGACTGGCTCAAAATGGGCTGTGTTTAGGTGATATTCAGACCAGACATCGGGTAAAATCAATGTAGGAGCCCCAGTTTATTCAGGAGTCGTCTGGTATGCCTCAATGTGTGATAAGAGAACGGGAATAGTCCCGACTGACGCAAAATGGGCTGTGTTTAGGTGATATTCAGACCTGACATCAGGCAAATATCAGTGTCGGAGCCCCAGTTTATTCAGGAGTCGTCTGGTATGCCTCAGTGTATGATAGGCGAACGGGAATAATCCCGTCCGACTGGCTGTGTTTAAATTGTATTCGGGCAGACATCAGGAAAATATTAGTGTCGGAGCCCCAATTTATTCAGGAGTCGTCAGATGATAGAGATAACATACTTCTTTATTTCGTGAGTGCGACGTTTCGATACAGGTGCCGTGTCAACGGTACAAGAATCTGTATCAAAGATCGCACTCACGAAATAAAGAAGTTGTTATCCATAAAACTCTAAATGCCACTGTAGGAGATACCTGAATAATCCCGACTGGCTCAAAATGGGCTGTGTTTAGATGGTATTCCCAGACATCAGGTAAAATATTTATTTAGGAGTCGTCTGGTATGCCTCAATGTGTGATAAGAGAACGGGAATAGTCCCGACTGACGCAAAATGGGCTGTGTTTAAATTGTATTCGGAGCAGACATCAGGAAAATATTAGTGTCGGAGCCCCAGTTTATTCAGGAGTCGTCTGGTATGCCTCAGTGTATGATAGGAGAACGGGAATAATCCCTACTGGCTCAAAATGGGCTGTGTTTAGGTGATATTCAGACCAGACATCGGGTAAAATCAATGTAGGAGCCCCAGTTTATTTAGAAGTCGTCTGGTATGCCTCAATGTGTGATAAGAGAACGGGAATAGTCCCGACTGACGCAAAATGGGCTGTGTTTAGGTGATATTCAGACCTTACATCAGGCAAATATCAGTGTCGGAGCCCCAGTTTATTCAGGAGTCGTTTGGTATGCCTCAGTGTATGATAATAGAACGGGAATAATCCCGACTGGCTCAAAATGGGCTGTGTTTAAATTGTATTCGGAGCAGACATCAGGAAAATATTAGTGTCGGAGCCCCAGTTTATTCAGGAGTCGTCTGGTATGCCTCAGTGTATGATAGGAGATAACAACTTCTTTATTTCGTGAGTGCGACGTTTCGGTGTCAGTTCTGTGCCGTAACGGTGAATCTGTATCGAAAGGTCTCAGTAAAGAAGATGTTATCCATAAAACTTGTTCATATTGGAGTTTCAACTTCTAAAATGCCACTCAAACAAGTTATGATAGGAGATACCTGAATAATCCCGACTGGCTCAAAATGGGCTGTGTTTAGATGGTATTCAGACCAGACATCAGGTAAAAATCAATGTAGGAGCCCCAGTTTATTTAGGAGTCGTCTGGTATGCCTCACAATAGTCCCGTCTGGCTCAAAATCTGTGTTTAAATTGTATTCGTCAGGAAAATATTAGTGTCGGAGCCCAGTTTATTCAGGAGTCGTCTGGTATGCCTCAGTGTGTGATAAGAGAACGGGAATAGTCCCGACTGACGCAAAATGGGCTGTGTTTAGGTGATATTCAGACCTGACATCAGGCAAATATCAGTGTCGGAGCCCCAGTTTATTCAGGAGTCGTCTGGTATGCCTCAGTGTATGATAGGAGAGCCGGAATAGTCCCGACTGACTCAAAATGGGCTGTGTTTAAATGGTATTCAGACCATACATCAGGCGAGTATCTATGTCGGAGCCAAGTACATGTATATTCAGGAGTCATCTGGTATGCCTCAATGTATGATAATAGAACGGGAATAATCCCGTCTGGCTCAAAATGGGCTGTGTTTAAATTGTATTCGGAGCAGACATCAGGAAAATATTAGTGTCGGAGCCCCAGTTTATTCAGGAGTCGTCTGGTATGCCTCAGTGTATGATAGGAGATAACAACTTCTTTATTTCGTGAGTGCGACGTTTCGATACAGATTCTTGTACCGTGTCAACGGTACAAGAATCTGTATCGAAACGTCGCACTCACGAAATAAAGAAGTTGTTATCCATAAAAACTTGTTCCATATTGTACGTCTCAACTTCTAAAATGCCACTCAAACAAGTTATGATAGGAGATACCTGAATAATCCCGACTGGCTCAAAATGGGCTGTGTTTAGATGGTATTCAGACCAGACATCAGGTAAAATCAATGTCGGAGCCCGAGTTTATTCAGGAGTCGTCTGATATGCCTCAGTGAATGATAGGAGAACGGGAATAATCCCGACTGGCTCAAAATGGGCTGTGTTTAGATGGTATTCAGACTCCAGACTCCATCAACCTTCGCTGATCTTTTCGTCGTGATCAGTCATTTGAAATAGTGGCAACAAATCCATATTTAATTACGCAAGTTAATCATGTTGTTACTTTATCTCGTCATGAAACATATTTTTTATATTTGGACTTTGCAATCCAGTTTATTAATTTTACTCAAAAGGTCAAAAAAGAATGTTTATATCAACTGCAGTGAAATCCTGTGTCTCCCCGATATTATAACTTCGGTCCGCATTAGTCACAAAATCACCATCATATTGCATCTACTCACGCCTCGAAATGAAGTGTATTTGGCAGAAAATGGATACGTATACATATTTCGTTTGGCTAAAAGTAATAGTTCTTGTAGCTGGACGATCACATGTCTTCACTGTGGAAATAGCGAGATCGCGCGAAACCTCATTGGTGACAGGTCAAATTGTTCCTTGCATAAATACTATCCAGTAATACACCAAAGAGCTGTCGCATAACCTTACTTATGATTATATATATTTTTCAGTAATAGAGCAAAACCTGCAATTAAAATGAAACAATATACTTGTCATGGTAACATAATAATTTCAGATACTTTATTTTTCCGATCACTCCGATTAACTAAATCACGGGTAGATGGCGGGGAAAAGTGTGCACAGCTGATTGCCATTTCGGACGGTGTATACGAGGCAAATGCACACGCTAATTCTAATCCCTGCATATAATACAATGCCTAGCAAAAACAAATTAGAACTGAAAAGATACATAAAATTGTTTAATGATTTTTAATTGACAATTTTACGTCTTTACTGACAAAATCGTCTTCTCTTGTTCGTTCACGGGAAGCGATACGATGTCGTTTTCTTACCCCCCGAAAGAAAGACTACATATCTGCCTGTCTTTATCAGGGTGTTGATTTCCTATAGAGGTTTTCGGTGTTTGAGTATGAGAATATTTCATATTTAGTTGTTGGTTAATCTTAACATATCCTCAAAACTTATCCCATAGCAAACCATGAGTGGTAAATAACGTAAAATAATCTAAAGCCAGGGCACATTGGCGCTTTATAAATGTATGTTACAGCATAATATTTTTAGAAATATTTACAAGTAATCATAATCTCAGTGTTTATTCTAACTAGTCTGGTTTGTTTGACTGCATCATATTTGAGAAAATTAAGAACAAAAGTATCAATTGATTGCATGTGCGATGTTACACATCGGAAACAAGATAGTCAGTTTCATGCACACATATGAAAAACAATTTTCTCGGCGCGCGAGACACTTGGTCTAGATGCCAGATCCCCCAAAATGGTGAAAATCTGGTGCAGTTCTGGCGACCGAATGGAATGTGATTTTTCACAATCAGGAATGCTTTGGCTTTGATTTAAAGCCGGTTGTCATCAGCTACCATGCGTGACTACCGTACAGAGGCCCTTTTAAGGTGCAACATGTCATGTCAGTTATGGCAATATTTTAACCGATAACTGGATGGTTTAATATAATAACTCTGGTTTGGTTTGACCGATTTTCATAACAAAAATGTTTTTTAATGATCAGACCATGATTTAAAATTGTGGACAATACTATTACATATATGCTCATCGCAAAAATATTTTGGTAAGGTCAAAGGTCAGTTTTAATAGAAAGGGCATTTGATGAGAAAATGTGAGTTGAACTTTACAAATTATAGGTAGTTTTTCCCAAATTATGTGGTTCTGATTCAGCTATATCATTTGAAGATCATATAAACCTTTGGTTGGCATTGTATTCATGAAAAACCATTACAAGGAAATAAAGCTTGGTACTTTGTATTTAGATCAGCAAAACATAAGATAATTTCAGCTCCATGCTTTACAAAGTATCAACAATACTAAATATGTCGAAGATACTGTTGAACTATCATACAAATTTGCTTTTATTGACATTCTAGCAGAAACAACAATTTAGCTGATGTCAGAAGGAGATATGTTTTGATAAGTGTCAGTATTGCACTGACATGCCGTGAAACCCTTAAAGCTGATGGATAATAATATGACATCCTAATGGAAGGTTTACAATTGACATTATGGTGTTCCATTTTTTCTGTTTACAATGTGAAATATTACGACTTTGGTTTTCTTTCTTTATTTTACACCGGCAATCATTGATACATTGTAAAAGATATGACACACTCATCAGAAAGGCGTCATGGTATCTTACCACCAAATATACACACAGGCATGTCATCATAACACAAGCAACATTACCTTCATATCAATTCGTATTTATTGTTCTTAATAGTCATAGGGTATTCCCAGTTGACATGTTAGTCAATGTCAACATTGCCAAGATCACGGGAACATGTTTCATGTCCACATCCACATGCCGAAGCACACAACAGGTTCAACCTCTTGCAGCTACTCTTTCCTGTACATTGGCGTTTATATGCACAGATATGTTGAAGAAGGTCCACGGAAACGATTTAGTCTTAACTTATTTGCAACCTTATCACAGAGGAACAGAGGAATATTTGATGAAGATCTATTACGAAAGAAACGTACTGCTTTAAATACAAAACATTAAGTGCCTAGTTTTGTGGACAACTCAAAAAGAAATTCCTAGACAATATTCATATAAACGTCTTGTAACGTTCATAAAAATATGCATACCTTGGTTTTAGTAATATGTAATGATATACACAAAAGAGTTACACATAGCATGGTCATGACACTATGAGCATCGATCTTCACAAGTGGGATACGATAGCATGCATCAAACAAGTAAGTGAGAACGACCACCCGATCACATTAGTTCGCTCTTATAACATGGGTTGCTGAAGATCAATTTTGACCCAATTAACATATTTGTGAACCTGCCAGAATGGTTAATGAATAAATGCATAGTCAGTCTCATGATATCTATTGTAGATCATTCCAAATGCTATTACTGACAACAGCATGTATGTCACCAATATCTTTTCTGGTGTCTGCATAAGTCGTACCTCAGAGAGCCAATTGTCAAGCTGCATTTAATTAATATCAGCTGTTCCGTACACGCACAGAAGTTGGTATATACGTTGACAGACGCTTTAGAATTATATTTTGCGCGGAAAAACTTTGAATCGTCTATACATATTGACAGTATTGAGTTACCTCGTCTAGATGGATACTAAAAGACCAACTGTCGTTCCTTTCCCGATTTCCATATGTCGCATGACTACGTTGTCCTTCAAGCAGAGAGTGAATGAACTGACAATAGTTATCGTATCATGGAATTGGCTCACGTCAATCACTGTCTTCATCAGCTGACGCACGTCGACAGTACAACGTCAGCTCTAACATATTGACAGACCTCACCCAGATGAACATTACCAAGTCGGCTGTAGTTAACTGCATTGTTCCAACAGCTGTGATCAGCAGAGTGTGTTTCAAATGCTTGCCCAGATCTATATATTTAGTTTCCGAATGCTAATATTACTAGGATTAAGGTTTTTAAATGCATTTCCCTCCTTGTAAGAACCACAATCGCTCTGTATGCCAGTAGTCTGTCTCATACTCCAAACTTTCGGCCCAGCCCCCTTCTGTAATGCAATAGTCCAAAATGAAGCCAGTCTAGTTCTGAGTCTCCGAACTCACTGGGGCTAATTCAGTATATACGGAGTTATATATTGCTATCAAAATTTCCTATTTTCAGAGGCTTCCGCTTGGTATAACGTGCCAGGATCCTGTAATTATGGACCCAAACATGCTCCGGGTATGCTTATTGTGTTTTCAAGACCATATCTATGTTTCTGAATTTCTCCCACATTAAACAATCTGTTGTTAGATCCAAATTAAACTTGCACGCTGTGTAGCCTTTTATGGCATTGGGTTTTGTGCGTGCGTTTGTTTATTATTTTCTTTGTTGCATTTGTATGGGCTGGGGCTATTCAAGATGAAATCCACCTAAGCAGGATTAATTGATTTTATATATTCATGGGTAAATTTTCATAATGTTTGCACTGTAAACTGATCAACATGTGGATGCTTGATGGGCATTTAGAAGTTGGAAGGTAACATAACAACGTATGGTATGGATTTACAACTTCTTTATTATTTACAACACAACGTTTCTAGGCTGCTTCTTAGTAGCCTAGAAACGTTGTGCATTTATGATAATGAATATTTGCTTGATATTGTATGGAATATGGAAAGGTTAATCCAAGTACATTGTATGTACAATTGCTTGTGCGATCTCTTAATCAGGATGATTATTTTCTTCAATTATCCATGGGGTAGTGGAGATAGAGGAAAGATGGGAGGTATATGTTCAAGGCGTTAATGCGTTGATACGTCCAGACATCCAGATAACCTGCAGCGTTGCTTGAAATACTAAATCAATACATATGAA